TCTGCGAGAAGGTCGCCATACTGCGGGGGCAGCGCGCCCAGGCCCACGTTCTCCATGACCTTGCCCAGCACCAGCGCCTTCTCATCCGCCAGTGCCTTGGCAGCGCCGCCCACGCCCACGCCACCCGCGGCCACCACGCCTGCCACCACGCCGCCACCGTTCTCGCGGTTGCGGCTCAACTCCGAGTCCATGCTGAAGCTCGACTCGGGCCGACTCTCATTCTCCAGCAGCAGCTCCTCTTCCTCCTCCTCCTCTTCCTCGTCCTCCTCCTCGGGCTCGTGGCCCAGCGACGGGTCGCTCTCGTGGTGGCGGAAGTCACCGTCGGCCGCCTTGAGGCCCTCACCAGCCAGCTCGCTGGTGCCGGGCTCGGGGGAGCTGGCGGCCGAGAGCCCGTCGTCGGAGCGGCCGGCCAGCGAGCCCGCCTTGTGCATGTGCGTCTTCATGTGGCGCTTGAGCTTGCTCGCCTGCGAGCACGCGTGGTCGCACAGCTGGCACTTGTAGGGCTTTTCACCCGTGTGGCTGCGCCGGTGCACAATGAGATTGCTCTGGAACTTGAAGGTTTTGCCGCAGAACTCACACGACTTGCTCTTGGTGGGTGGCTGCGGAGGGGGCGTGCCGCCGGGGGGCATGGGGGGCAGCGGTGGCGTGCTGAGGAATGGGGACTTGGGGCTGGGCTGGAACGGGTTCAGGAGCCGGTGCATAGGGTTGCCGCGGCCCGGCGACACGGGCGGCGGGGTGGCGCTGTTGCCTGCCAGCTCGCGAAGCCGCCGCGAGAAGTCCATGGCGGGGGAGTCGATGGCCATGGGGTTCAGGCGCATGACTCGGTCGAAGGCACTGGGGTGCTGGGCGACGAGCCCCATCTCCTCGGCGCTGAGGCGGTGTGGGTCCAGGTGGTGTCGCGGCGGCGGGCTGAAGAGCGGCGGCGTGCCCGGCAGGCGGCCCTCGCCGAAGCCGGGATGGTCCCGCAGGATGGGGCCCGTCATGCGCAGCAGGTTGAAGGGGTTGCTGTCTCCGAGGAAATTCATGAGCGGGGACTGCGCCACGGCCTCTGGCCCGAGGGGCGGCGGGATGGTGAGGCGTGGCGTGAGCGAGCTGCTGGCAGGCCCGGGCTCCAGGTAGATGCGGAAGCCGTGCGTGTTCTGCGCGTGCTGCAGCAGGAACCACGCGCTGTTGAAGGGCTGCTTGCATGTTGTGCAAATGTAGCTGGAAGGCTCATCTTTACCTGCGGAGACAGACACACGGACAGAAAGGCAGAGAGAGCGTGAGAAGGGGCTGGCGGGGCCGAACACCTGTAGGCGCGAGGGGCTGGGCCGAAGGGCTCTGCTCAGGAGCCTAACTTCCGTCCTGCAGGCCTGGCTCTGCTGCCACCTTCTTGTCTCAGGCTAGGTGAAACCGCGTGAGCAGGCCCGACCCTAATGGAAATCATAAAGAGCACAGGACAGACGGCCGGGCAGACCTCTGACCACTCAGACCTGGGTCCCCGCCAAGGCACTCCTGATATTCGGACCCCAGCAACTGTTGAGGGTGGGGAGGGATGTCCGACACTGCAGGGCCTCCACCTTGTAGATTTCAAGAGCACCCCCTCCTCAGTGGTGAAGACCAAACATGCCCCCCAACATTGCCCTATGTCCAGCGAGGGGAGGGGCAGTCTCCCACCCCCACCAAAGCAGGGGTTCACACAATATTTGGTTCAAGGAGCTCCTACAGAAACACAAACTGTAATGTCTTGAAAACTTTCTTTTTTGTTCCTAAGAGAAGTGATTGTGGTTCCTCTGGAATAGCTACAGGAAACCCTGTGTGTCATAGACACCACTGTGCAGGAAGCACCCTCCAGCCAAACACAGACACCAAGAACCAGAAACAAAAAATTTCATATGTCCTAGAGACCCCCTGCTGTGTGACAGCTGTCCCTACCCGGCGTCCTCACACACACACCCCAGCCAACGTGGAATTCAGCTTCTATGCACCCCTGGCACCAAGCGACAGTGACACTGGCCCACCAAAGTATTTTTGAAACCCTTTGCCAGAATAGTAAGGAATGAAAGAAAGACCATTGCCAAATCCACCCGGATAAACAGCCACCAGCGCTCATTAAGAGTCTGCCTCTGCTGACACCAGCAGCAAGTTGTACCGGACGCCAGTGGCCCTGAGCCAAACTGTCACCACCTCCGTTCATCATTGGGGTCGTCACAAAATGGAGGCTGAGCCTTTCACCCAGAACCTTCTACAGGTGACCCTTGTAGACCTGTAGGTGAAGCCAGCCGTCCCACCAGCCAGAGCCCTGCTAACACTTCACCCAAGAGAGACGGGCGCAGACAAGCCCTCTCATCAGCCATCAGCTGCAGCGCCAGGAAGGGAAGAACAGGAGTCTACCCCAGGCCTTGCAGGAGACACCACAACGGCAAAGCCCCTTTTGTCTTCTCAAACTGCCCTCTACCTGGAAGACATTAACACTGACATTCAAATAAATCACTGCAGACTCCCTGGTGAAGCCAAAATCAGTCACCCCACTAGGAAGGCCACGTGGGGAGCAGAGAACGCGGTGCCCTACCTTAGCAAGTCCTGGGCACACCAGGCTTTTGTTTTCTACCCACTCATTGAGTTTTTGGGGGGAGGAGCTGCAAATTCCATGGTATCTCTAGCCACATTAACTGGCCTTTGGGAACCATCTATGCCAAAGCCACACAACTGGGGAACTGAGGGCCCCGAATTCCCTCTGAGGGCTTGGTCTCCAGTGCGCGTCTCTCTCAAATCAGGATTACGGGCTTCTGTGTGGCCAGGACTTCCAGGGAAACGCCACGTGTGCAGTCACAGCAGCTGTGCTCAAGCAGGGCACCTGCTGACAGGGGCGCCTGGCCGGGCCCAGGAAGCCACAGCCTGGTACTCACAGGCAGATTCCTCTACTCTCCTTTTGCGTCTGTGCATCCGGGGGCAAGAAGACAGCAAGTAGGACAGAAATAATTTCAGGGTGATCCTTTCCCCCCATGCAGGAGCTTCTCAGGGGACCCTGCCCAATCTGGAAGAAAGCAGGGAGGCCCTTCGAAGCCCTGACACCCCGCCTTCCTATGTATAAGCCACACCTAAAGGGACGGAACTGGCTTCTCACAGTCACTGTCTCCCGTCCTCAGCATTAGTTAATGTCCTTGGAGACAGAACACCTTAGCCCAGTTCCCACCAGGAGAGCTGGTCAGAAGCCAGCCTGACACTCCACATGCTTTTTTTTTTTTTTTTTAAAAGCAAGATGAACTACGTAAGTAATAACTAAGAAGATAAATCGAGGTCCCTTTCAGACCCAAGAGTTAATAACACAATGAAGCGCCATGTCCTGAGAGGTCATAGATCTTCAAATTAAAGAGTTTTTCTGTATCCTTCGCCTGTTTGAGTCACTCTAATTAATCAATCAGTGGCGCACAGCACTCTGGTTCTGTGTGCCCTTGAGCTGGGCCACCTCCTGTCCCCACATCTTTACTTCTTCGGGTAGCTCTGGATCACTTCCTGTGTCTGCTTCTGCTGGCCACATATTTTCTAGAAAGTTCTGAGGCAGTGAGCACTATCAACAGCAGAGGAAAAGGCAGAGGTCCCAGTCAGGCGAGGAAGGAAGAGACTGTTCAGAGCCAAAATGGCCGATTACATTTTTCTTTTTTTAAAGAAAAAAAAAATCAGAATGCCAGCTGCCAGGAAGCGAGTAGCTGCATGTTCTAAAGAGCTCTGATGTTTCCACTTCTTGAGTTTTGTTTTTTTTTTTTTAGGGGCAAAAAAAAAAGAACATTTCTCAAACTCTAACTTGGAGGTGCCTCGCGAAGGAGGTTACCTGTCCATAATTCACCACGAAGTGTCAAAGAACTATGTGCACTCATCAGGGTGAATTTCTGGGCCACTCATTCCCAGGAGAGCTCTTTCCTTATCTGGAGCCCTGAGCCCCCAGCCCGGCCAACAGAACATGGTTCACTGGGAGCAGGCTCCTCCCCAGGTCTCCCCATTGCTGAATCTTAAACCTCCCACAGCCCCCAAAGGCCCTGCCCTCCCTAGACAGCCCTTTCTAGCTCCCCCACCTAGACCCCACCTTTCCTTTCTGTTAAATAAAATATTCATTACCATAACTTCACTCTGTGGTTATCTCTAGCCTTGAAGTAACCCTGAGCACGGGACTGCTTGCCTCTAAGAACCAAACAATGTCAGAAAGTCTTTGAAGAACCACTCAGAACATTTTTATATTAGAAAACCCAATAATAGTTTTGAAATGCAGCACGCAGTCCAGCAGACAGAAGGCCCTTGGACAGCGGGCTGCTTCCAGCGTAGAGCTGGCCTGCTCCCCAGCAAGGTGCTCAACACTGCCTCAGCAACAACCCCTCCTCACACGAGGCCACCTTCCCGTGGGAGCAGCCAGCTCCCTGCAGCAAAAGGCCACTGTTCTCTTTGCCAGTGGAACACAAAATCCACCTGCTCCTGTGGCCCTGAGGTTCCCACTGATAGGTGGAGGCCTAGACTACTATGGCAGTTTACTCTGAAACATCAAACCTGCCCCACAGACAAGAATGCCGGTGGCATGCTGGGTGACTCAGAACCTGGCCCACATCCTTCCTGCTCTGCTTGCCTCCTTCCTTTCTCAGGAAAAATACACGCTGCTGTCCCTTTAAATCGCACGTGGCTTTGCAGACGTAGTCATTGCAGTGGGGTTGGTACAATTTGGTTTTGTTATCCATCCTTGTACCTAGCTGTGGATGTTTCTGAATGACTCTGGCAGTAATAAAGCCCTGGAGGAATTTTAATGCAGCCTGCCTTGTGCGTTAGAGGTTCCAGGAAACCGGAAACTTGCACACGTTGAGAAAACATGCTTTTTTATTGTGACGCTTGGGAACCGACCGGCAACTGGACCTCTACGATGAAACGCTCTCCCTCTGCTATGAGGCTTTTCTTAATGGGCATTTAAATAATTGTTCCTCCTTATCCCTTCGAATACTTTAATAATAATACCAATAAAGGTACCGGGTGGTCAATAAAAAGTACACCTTTAATTGAACCATTATCCCCTCCCCGAAAAGGCCATAATTGAGGGGGTGGATCCTCCTACGGCCAAGAAGGCTAGGGGCTCTAGGTCTCTCAGGCCCCTCTGCAGGCTGCAAAAGGTTTAGCAGCTGGCTTGGCACTGAGACCTGTATCAGCTCATTTCAGCATTCACTCACTGCAACCTCTGAGGGGTGCAAGATCGCTCCCTCTTTAGACGTGAGGACCCCGAAGCTTAGAGAGGCCAAGCTGCACAGCCAAGAAGTGGCAGGGCCATGTGCCCTTCAGATTCCCCCACCCTGGGCAGGACCTCAGCTGCCTGACCGCCCTCACCCCTGAGGGATTCACTGTCCTGTCCACACTTGTCACAGTGAAATGGCCAAGACAGAGGTTCCCCCGCTGCACCATGTATCCCTGGATGCACAGGGGTCAAGCCCACCACAGGCCTCCATCCAAGAGAGGAATCGTTTTACAAAGCCAGTGAGCCCACAGTGCTATGGTCCCCAGGAACACAGTGACAAGGCCACAAGATGCCAGGGAGACTGGACCCAGGGGCAGGAAACCCTACAGCAGTCCTCCTTGTCTGGACTCCAAGACACCCAGGACCAAAGAGGGCTGTCTGTGCCAGGTGACCCCTTAATCCTCCTCCGGCATCTGTGACAGCCAGCGACACCACCACCCCCCCACCGCCACAGTTCCCAGATGGTGAGAAGTGTCGCTGCAACACCTGAGATGTGTAGATTCCTTATTCGTTAAAAACCATCCCCAGGCCAGGGGTGTAGCTCAGCGGTAGAACACAGAAGAGACCCCGGGTTCAATCCCTAGGGCCAAAAAATGAATAAAAGTAAAGCCTCTCTCTCCTTTTATGATGTCAGGAAGAAAATGTCACCTGGGTACCTAGGGGTCTATGCGGCTTTCATTTTTTTGTTTTTGTTTTGGTTTGGTTTGGTTTTTGGCGGAACCGGGGATTGAACTCAGACCTTTGCGCTTGCCAGGGAAGCGCTTATTCTACTGAGCCATCTCCCGGGCCCCTGAGGCTTTCATTTTTGTCTTATTCCTGAACCAGGTCACCTTCAAAGTTGGTCAGCACCCTGCTTGTCCCAAACCCCTCTGCATGCTCCTCAGCGCTCCCCAAGGTGGCAGAGAGGAGCAGGAAAAAGAGGAGCAATGGCAACAAGAAAACCTTAAGAAACAGGTACTGTGAGCCAAGCCCCATAC